CCCCGAATAGGGGGGGGGGGGGGGAGGCATGGCCTCGAGCCAGAAGAGAGAAAAGGGGGAGTGGGCCTGGCCCTGAAAGTGAGGGGGGAAGGGAAGGCCAGACACAGGCCTCTGTCCCCTCCTCCCCCACAACGTCATTCTTGACAGGCAATTGGATAGTAGAATCATAAAGAAGTAGGGCCGGTAGGGACCTCTAGAGGCCATCCTGTCCCATCACCTGCCTGGATAGGATTATCCCTATTGAAACCATCCTATACTAATCTGTAATTTAACTCTTTGTAAAACTATCATCAACCCTGACACAACACAAGACATAACACCCTAACCTGCCACAGGTAAAGCAGGAGGATTGTGGCAGGCAACATCCTGCTTCTATAAAACGTTCTTAATATATGTTTGAGCTATCCCAGGAAAAGGGTCATGCCCCCAGCTACAGAGGAAGGCAACCCCTCTCCTCCATAGTCCATACCAATCTGGCCATGGGGTAAAATTCCTTCCTGACCCCAAATATGGTGATCAGTCTGACCCTGAGCAGATGGGCAACACCATCTAGCCAGGAACCTCTGGCTTTAAGTCCCAGCAGGAACACTGGCAAAATCCCCAGTCAAAATCCCCAGCTTCAGCTGCAGCCAACACCTAATGCCTCTGAAGAAGGCTCAAAAACACCCTGACACATCTAGTAAAAAAAAAGAAGAGGGGAGCAACCAGCAAAGCCCGGAAGCATGGGAAATACCCCATGTTTGCAAACCCATATCTTTGCCAGGAGCTAAAGAACAAAGAAAAAAATATAACCTAACAAGGGGCTAGGTTACTTTTAATTTACTGTATTTATTCACATACCATGTGTACCTTTTCTCCAAGATTAGCCCTCCAAAGATAGGCTATGTGTCTTAAACAGGAAAGTTAATTTCTCTGTCCAGAACAAAAGCATGTAGACACTAGGGCTGTGCGAAACAGCACCATTTCATTTCAATTTCCATTTTGCCATTTTGAAGGGACAGAGTTTCATTTTGTCACTTCATCTCATTTCAAAGCACTGTTCCATTTCGTTTCCTGTTCCAAACTGTTTTGCTGTTTTGACAGGTTTTGACATTTCGCCCATGGGCTATAATCGGAATTCATGAAAATGCCTAAAACTGTCATGTGTTGCCTGATTCAGGTGAAAATTGCTGGGGTGGTAGCCCCTTCTGAGGGCATGAAGCCTGCCAAGTTTCAAGGAGAGAGGTGCAAAGATTTTTGGGAAACTGCACCTCAAACAGTTGAAAGGAAAACTCCTTTCACTTGCCGGCAGCTGCAGCCTCCTGTCATCCTGCATGCAGATCCAGGAGCCTGTACCCCAGGAGGGCTGCGGGGCTGTGCCAGACTCGTCCAGGGAGTGTGGGACCCCGGATATGCATGTGGGATGACAGGAGGCTGCTGCTGCCAGTTGAGACCAGCTCTGGGCACAGCCAGTGCCAAGCTCTGGGAAGACTGCTGCTGGCCCCACCCGGCAGCATGCTGTCATCCTGCGCACAGATCTGGGGGCCTGCGCCCCCCTGGGAGGGCTGTGGGGCTGTGCCACACTCCTCCCAGAGGGTGCAGGCCCCCGGATCTGTGTGCAGGATGACAGCAGGCTACCACTGCTGGCTGGTACCAGTGCTGAAGCCAAGCAAGCCCTGCTTCGAAACTCGAAACGCTTTGAGAATTTTGAAACATTTCAAATGCCCGTGTTTCATGTCGAAGCTGTTTTGAAGCCTTTTGCTTCACACTGTTTCAAACTTGAAACACACTGAAACAGCTTCAAAACAAAACACCTGGAAAAATTTCACACAGCCCTAGTAGACACTATAAGAAGGCTGATGCTTCTTTTCCTTCTCTCCCACCAGCAGCCACATGGAGAGAGGGGCAATATCTGGCAGGAACAGATCTGGGGGAGGGGGCTGGCAGGAAGAAGTGCAATATTGCAGTGGCACCTTGCTTTGTTTCCTGGTCCATCCTAAACTCCACCAGCTAGCAATGCTGGGAAATCATTTAGCTTCATGTCTCTTATAATCTCCCTGATTACTGCTACTTGTTCTTCATTCTACAGGTTTTAAGGACCCTCTCTCCTTGATATTCCACTAATCCTCCTTCATGTTCTACAATTTTGCTATCTGCTAATAACTCTTGGTTTCTCTTCTCCTCTTCCACTGCCCTTGATCTGCCCATGGAATCCAGCCATGAGCCACAGCTACAGCTTTTGGCTGAGGAGCCAAAAGGAGGGTAGCAGAAGGGGGCTTATTCCACCATTTGCCCCAAGCAGGGAGTGAATGGCAGCAGTCGGGACAGGCAGATCCCAGCTGCAGTCCCCTAGGGAAAGTGGGGGTAGAGGGGAAAAAACCCTCTATCTCTAGCTCGGTGGTTAACATTTTTGGACTCAAAGCACCTCTCATTGGACATGAGGCACCCTTCCATAACTTTTGTTAATTGAGTGGCACCCAGTTTCAAAGACTAGTTTATGTATTATAGTGCTTACCTCCTTACATGGGGCTGGGCATGAGGGCTAAGTACAGACAGTCAAAAATTCCAGTGCTGAATTGATTTGATCTTCAAAGGTTACTGTAAGCTGCGTAGATTGACCTGTAAGCAAGTGAACAGAGATTCACTTTTCATGCCAGAAATGTAGCCACATGCCTGCAGTGGCCTAGGCCAGAAGCCAGGGGACGCTTGAGCATGCTTCGCTACTCAACAGGAGCAGACAGTTTAAGCCAAAGCTAGCCTGCCCACCGTGTGAGCAGGGGAGAGTTGCTGGGAAGGTGTAAAGCATCCTAGGATGCTGGGGAACTATGAGTTAACTTGAATCTGGAGGGGATATGGGACAGAAGTTCAATAAACTGATTTAATCTAAATCAGTTCAGTCTGATACTACATCCTTGCAGGTTTATCTTAAACC